AAATGAGGAATTCGATAAAGAAATGGTATTTCATACAAATCTTTTATTCAAGGTATTTGATTAATGATGATAGTTTTCTGTCAAATCTAATTATCTATAACACGTGCTGTTGGCATAAATTAATTCATAAATTCATGCGTTAATTAGAGAGTCAACGTTTTATGGGCTTTTTTACAATCTAAGAAAAGTTGTACATCGTACAATTATATTTTATTATTTCAAAGAAAATATTTTTTCAGTAGTTGAGATCATGAGTCAGTTGAAGCTAAACCATCATGGAAAATCTGAAAGCAGTGGACGACCGTTTCGTTCTATTGTGGGACTCCTCAGCAGTGTCAATTATTCAATGTGGAATGATTTCGAACGTCATTATAACGGAGTAAAACTGCATTACCATGTGACTGTGTGATTACAATAGACAATTCAAATGAATGAATGTGATACATTAACGAAAAACTTTGCAAAATATGGATAAATTCATTATATTTTAATGTTTTTAACCATCTGCAAACGGCTTAAAGCTATAAACGGAAATTTTGTTATTTCATAAATCCTGTTCATTGATTATGAGTTTGAAGACAGATGAATATATATATGAAACAGGAAAAAGCACAAAATAGTAGTAGTGTACTAACACAAATGGGGATAATCAAATGTTCGTGAATAAAAAATTAGAGAATCTTTTGCTGAAATCTGAGAACCATACAATAATTTCTTCGCTTGCAAAATGTCAATCATTTGTCTCAAACTTTATTGTTCATTTGTTTCCACACCAATCATTCTTTGTTTTCATTCTTTCTTCTTTGATCTTCTTAACTTTCTGCATCCAGGCATCTCACTTTCGATTGTTAATGTAAATTATTTATATCTGTCGACATCAGTAACACACACCAAGACATATTTAAAATGAAATCATATAAAGTTGGGAAGGTTTTCTTAGAAACTGATTAACCGGTGAAATAAAATTCATTTTAACAATGGATGATTGCATAATCAAGGCATCTAGTTAAAATTAATGAAATATGCGAGAATTTTAAAAGGAATTAAAAAAGATAGAGTATTTAAATAAAAAAATCTTATTTAACAGTAGTAGTGGGAAGCAACATTGTATTTTCATGTACAAATGTCAGATACAAAGCGCTTAATGTTAAGGGTCACTGTATATATTAGCATAAGTGCCTTTGACTACTTATGAATTATTTTGAAAATTTTCTTTTAACATATAGGTAAGTAAATTGAATTGCTAAACGAAACGAAATGAGTTGTTCTACTCTAGTAACTGGGTAAAAAATAATCAAACCATTTTTTATGAGAAGGGGAAGAGAAGCCGTAGATTATTATTTAGTAACTTGCAATCACCTTTATAACTGCATATCATCAGAGTTTAGTTTCATTTATCGCAAGGCCAAAATTATAGATAATATAGAAATTGTGATATTTCAAATCTAACTAAATACAATTTATGTTGAAACTTAAACATTCAGTGAAGACAGAACAATCAAATAGCCATTAGAATGTGATATAGATAGTTCTAAAAGTCACTTTTATCGTTTTATAGCCACCGTTACCAAAATAGTTATTTGTTATCACGGCATTTTCCATTTTATTTATTTCTTTCTTTTACTTTGTTATCAAATGGTTTACTATGAAAAATATTAATGGAAATAAAAGATATAAAACAGTTGGACAGTAGGTGTCCGAAGTATTTTTTGTCTCCATACCTCATTCACTTTTAATAGTCTCATCTAATCTATGAGACAAAAATAACGAAATCCTCCAACCTTAAGATATGCATGATCAGCACAAATTAATCACCAATTACTTTTTACTTTGTATATATTTTTCAAATCAGTACTGTATGAAACACCTAGATCAGTATTATGATAAACCTCTTCCTCAACAACAACAACAAAAATAATTATTTCACCGAATGTATTTGCTTTTTGTTTTATTTACATACAAAAAAAGTAAATAGGCGATATATGAACAATCAATAACAGTAAATAATAACAAATTAATGAACTAAAAATCTATCCACTACAATTGAGTCTACATATATATAAACTTTTGAAAAGCTTGAGCAATTGTTTTCTATTTATTTGTTATTAATTAATGCATGAAATCAATGGGAAATAAGTATGAAACACCCCAAGAGACTGTTCTTAAATAACAAAACATAGTAGTCTGATAAAAGATGAGATAAGATTCCATAGGTGAGAGTAAAAATTATTCTCTTAATTCTCAAGCAAATAAGAATCTATAAAGACTTAGTTATAAGAGAATTTATAACACGTTATACGTAACTCTGAACAGAATAATAAATACAAATTAATGATACGGTGAGGGTTCAATTGTAAAATGTAATATGAGTTATAATTTAAACGTTAAAGTGGCAAAATATTGAGTTCACTTGATATTGTTTTACTTGAATCTTCCCATCGATGATGAAGACTGAAATTGACCACTCTCTTATTGGCATATGTGCATTCTGTGAGTATTGTCTCGATATTGGCTATCAGGACTCAGTAGCGAAGTGGATAACGTGATGGTGTTTGAAGCAAACGGTACTGGATTCGATTCGAAGAGTGGACATCAACTATGAGATCCAGGTACATCCACATGACGAGGGCCAAATAGGACGAAACGCGCGTCCTGGATTCCACTGCTAGCCATTATCCATCTTTGCTTATTGTAATGTATAGATTCTGTGATCGATAAATCAAGGGAAGGATAATTATAATTCACTATAGGTGATCAGATAATAGAACATCTACAACAATGAATGAATTAAAATGCAGTAAGATTTGTATATTACTGGCTCCATGATATTTTAGTTTTCATAAACACGAAAAAATTAATCTTTTATGTGATTACCTTTTAACCGGTTTATAAAAAACATAAAACTTTTTTTGTTTTTTTTCAAACAAACGATTTACGCGGAAATATTGAAGATAAAGTAAAATATTGAATAAAAACATTATCATGAAAGTATCTACTATACGGTCGATAAATACATTCTGAATGACACATAAAACTAAGATGATCGGATTCTAAGCTAAAGCACTGGATTTGATAGTCTAACGATAGTGATAACCGTTAACCAATGTTTCCTGATGCTGTGTTGATATGAATACAACCTATTTAACGTATTTGGTGGTTTCATGGAGTTCATTGGTTTTATTTACAAACTATAAAACTATATCATCAGAAAACAGCATATATATTCTTGCAACAAGATATTGTTGTATATCTACCCGCAATATTAAAGAAAATAAGTTTATTGTCAATGGAATAATGTTTGTTCATGGAATTGTCTCAGGGGGGATATAAACTGTTTGGGAAGATAGTAAAATTCTTCCTATGAAAATTTTCAAAGAAACACTTAATTGAAATGAAATTTTTATTGATCAAAAGTGACCTCTCAATTTCAAGTGTTTACAAAATAAAACTTACAACAAATTATATGTCACTCTTTAGCTAATATGATTTACTTATTCCACATTTGATAATGCATAGTCTTTTACTGAAGACAGGTATTTTACTGATATTCACTGATTTATTAGGAATAATCATATAAATATACGATGTGTATGTAACGAAACACGTAGATATCTCATTGTAATGTTAATTATTGAACCGATCATACCGATTCTAAAAGTTATCATTCCAACTTAGTAATTGACGTTTGGTATTATAATCCACAATAAAGGTAGTTAACTGTGACATTCATTATCTTATATCCTAAACAGCAGAGATTAGATCAGAATATTTATGTAGATAACATTCCGTTCTACTTGTGCATAAAGATTGTAACTTCAGTCAATATTGAGGCGGTCCGCACACGATGCAAATATGCCAATAAGAGACTGATTAATTGCAGTCCTGAATAACAATGGGAAGATACAAGTAAACAACAAGTGAATCTAGTGTATGTTGGCTTTATTATTTTACTCCAAGTTATTGTATGTCATAAAAGATTCATATTATGACATTGAAATTTATTTGGTACATGAGACTGTAATATTTCCTTGACAATGAACCATTAAATATTGAATAATAATGTCCAGTCAGTACAAAACAATATAACGTAACATCTTGAATAATGTAGTTTTTTGTTTTGAAGATAAATAAGTAAAATTACATATATGGAAAATCTTGAAAATCGTTATCACAAAAATTGGTTTATCCTCCACATCTTCTTAATCAAAAGTAGATTAATTCAAATAATGAATTTCTATGTTGCTTTTAATATTTTCTGTGTGATTTAGTCTATTTAGTCTTTGAAAGACATCAATTTCTATCTTAACTTCTTAAGTAAACTTGGACACAATATTCCGAGAGCTTAGTTACTTTAAATTGGATATTAATATAATGAATACAATTGGTAGAATGCCAGAAGAAACTTCTACATTGACATATTTAAAGGTGAAATTCCTACACATTTCAGCCCCGTTCAAAATTATGGTACATTTACCAAAACTTCTTATTTTATTCAAGTTATTCTTTTATTTTCGGTGAGTTACTGTAAGAGTTTGTTATCATAACACAAACAACTTCGAGTTGTTTAGCGTTACTGTAGTGAACAAGAACACGAGTGGGGGACGATCGAATGCATTTCAACACAAATTACAGAACATCTTAGTAAAATCTTAAAATCATACAGTAAACACTTAATTTGCAAAATGTCAATCAATTGTCTAGAATTTGACTGTTCCTTTTGCAAATATCAATCCATCGTCTCAGATTTCATTGTTTCTTCATTTTCATACTAATCGCTTTACGTCCCTATTCTTTCCTTCTCGATCTTCTACTTAAATACATTCTATTCCTGACCATCATTATATACTACTTATGTGGATATAAGCAGCTCACACCAAACTGCTATATTGTAATATATATAGCGATTATTTCTTAATTATTTTCCACTAGTTTATTACATTTGAATTCGATTCATGTATACTTTAAATAACTTCATTATAACTTTTATATTCTTATTATAGGTGAAGTTGATCCAGTATATCATTTGCTAAGATGTGCTGCGAGTAAAAGTCAAACTACAGCTGTAGCTACAACTGGTATAATGAATTCTAGAATTAATGCTAAAACAAAATCCTCTGTACCCGATACACCTATAACAAGTAAGTTGATTGTCATTAACTGACAATTACTCAAATGGTTTAAAGTAATTGTTTCGTAATGTGTTGATAATGTGAAGCCTAGTTTTTAGTCATGCTCTTTTTATGTAGAACTAAACAATTTATTTTGCATATGATGTTTCATATAATCTTTGCTGATCAGGAGAAACTTTATGCATTATAGAAACCTTCAATAAATATTTTGTTTTTTTATGCTGGAATGTTCCCCATGTTCTGAATGTCAACAAAGATTTTTTTATCTGTAGCAGACTATTTTGAAGCTGTTGAAATTATCAAAAGTTATAAAATTCGCGTTTACAGCTGTTATACACTATTCAAACAAACAGAAAAGATTAAACTTCTCATTTATATTACTCGGAAATCTAGGTTCTTTGAGTATTTATTTGTTCGTTTGACTTGAATATTTATTTTTTGATGTTCAGTTGAGCTATGGCCTTACGTAATTGTTATTTGTAAGCATGGAAAACGCATTTGGGGGAAGGGAAATACCTGTGTTATAAGTTCTTTTTCTCAGAAGGTTGTTAGTTGAATACTCTCTGTACATATTTATTCATTTCAGACTAAACAAGCTTTTAACTATTTCAAAAAATAACTTATCAACTAGTCATAAATAAGAGTATTTTAGTATCATTTGTAATTGTTTGAATGTAACTAAGTTTGAATCACGAGAAGAACAATAACTCATAGATCTAACTGAGTGCCAAACAGTATGAAACGAACATTCTGGATTCCATTATTAGTTAGGTTTCATTTATTTCATATAAAAAGGATACTTTGTAAATCGTAAACTAAATATGCCAGGTACGTATAGATTGTATCCGTGTTGAAATGAATCTAAGAATTTGTTCTTACCATTATATTACATATAAAGCCTACTATACAACATCTACTTTACAAAAAAGTGTTTTAATGTTACCAGTGTTGAGACGACAAAAGACCTTACATAATCCGATTTATCAGCTTGTTTCTCATAGAATTTGTCCTCCTGTGCGTGCTCTATATAAACTATGTGATATAATCAGTTTTATTAATTCGTTTGAAAAGATTTATTTCTGTTGAGTAACAGTTTTTAACAAAGGATGAGTATAAGGAGTCATTTAAAATCACTTAAATATGTATTATACGATCAATAATCTAAAACATAAAGCAAATGAACAGATTGTTCTTTAGTCAGCAAAAGAGAATAATTGTTTAAATTCGCCTGGTATTGTTTGTTTTAATCTTTCTATTGTTATTTATGAGTGCAATTGATCAGTCTCATGTTGGCATATATGCATCCTGTGCGGAATGCTTCAATATTGCCTTAGGTCAAAGCTTTATAAGAAAAGATGGATAGTGGCTAGCAGTGGAATCCAGGACACGGGTTTCGTCCTATTTGAGACTCGTCTGCTGGATGTACCTGCATCTCAGAGTTGATGTTCTGTCTGGGACTCGAATCCAGTACCGTTCGCTTTAAACGATATTGCATTATCCATTTAGCCGGTGGGAAGATACGAGCAAACGTTGTCAAGTGAATTTAAACTTCACCTCATTGCACAAGCAAGTGGCTATCAGGACTTGGTAGCGAAGTGGATAACGCCATGGCGTTTGAAGCGGACGGTACTGCGTTTGGGTTTCTGAATGAACATCAACTCTGAGATGCAGGTACATGCAGCTGACAAGTTTCAAATAGGACGAACCATGTGTCCTGGATTCCACTGCTAGCCGCTATCCATCTTTGCTCATAATGAATGTAATTGTTTGTTTTTTATGTCGTCCGTAAGTTATTAAAATTTAATACATACCATTACTACGGATAACAGTGACCAATAAATCTCAGTGCAAATAAATGGTGCACACTGTTCAAAACGATGCTAAGCAAATTTGTTTTATGGGCAGAGTAGGCAGGTTGCATCTATGTAGTCAATATAAATAAAATATAGATGAATGACTGAAGAAACATTACTAATTGTCATTCTACGGTTTACATAATTATTTCTACTTGACCGCGATCACTCCACAATTTCAATACTAAAATGAAAACAATAAAAAACTGTATTAGAAGTCTTTAAACATTTACGCGACCAACCCATCAAGTTCACTGATGACATTTGTACTTTAGTTCCCTGAAAACTTGGAGAATTTGTTAGTGGAAAAATGGGCTTGTGTTTGAAACACTTGATTTGCAGTGGATATGTCGCAGAATCAAACTAAATCCATTTCTGTTTGGTTAGTAAAGCATTAGGACTGTGCTGTCATTTCTGTTTTTCATCAATGAAAATTTATCTATTTTGTGAGAGTATATAAGATGTGTGCCTTTGATATAAATGTATCGTTGTCTTTTATCGTTGTTTTCTTTGCAAAATCTGTGCTGGAATTATTGTTGTTTAATTTATTTTCTGTCGTTATTATTGTTGTCAACGTTTTTCATATACAACTTATTTGTGTCCATTTGTTGTGTCATATCATTTTTCTTATCAATACAGAATCAGAGTTAACAAAGAAGTTCACAAATCGTTTAGATCGCAGTACATCACTGAAAAATAATACAAACCCATTTTATTGATTGGAGATCATCCTGTATGAATTCACCAACACTATGTATTACTCTTTTTATACCTTTAGCCTTTCACTATAACTTATCTTTATCTTTTCCTTCATCATACAGTTATTCACTAACCTATCCACTATAGATATGCATGTACATGAAAACTCTCTCTCTCTATACATATATATATATATACTAATGCACGATTACATGATTTCTTCATTTTTCTATTACTTATTTTCTCTTTCTTTTTTCTACAAATGTTCGTCATCCGAACAAACTTTCAATGATATATATGAACAATTAAAGTTATGCTGTATATTTTCGTTATTATTGTTATTCATGACAGCTAAACATAATTCAGTTGTTCTTTGTTTGTATTCTGTGACATATTTGTTGTTTCTTTACTGTTGTTATTGATATATTAGTCATAGTAATCAGATCATACATCGTTACAATTTGAATATTAAAACAAGAAAACAAAACATATTCAATAATTTGTTGTTGTCCATTATCACATTTTTTCCTCATTTTATATATGTGTAACTTGTAAAACCTATAATTACATTTATTAGTATTAATATAATGTAATAGTAGTATTAGCAGTAGTAGTATAAATACTACAAAGGCAACAGAATATTTATTTTTCATATCAGTGTTATTATTAGTACAATCATAATTATAATTTATTATTAATTGAGTTCATTATTGAAAGTGATAAACAATGTTAAAAGATTAATATTTAGACATTAACACCGTTGGATGCCGGCTCAATGGTCTAATGGTTAAGCGCTCGAGAGCGAGACTGATAGGTCCTGGGTTCAAATCTCGCAGGGGTGTATGTTGCTGAAGTGTCCCATATTGGGACGAAACGGCTGTCCAGTGCTTTCAGGTTTTCCATGGTGGTCTAGCTTCAATTGACTCATGAATTCAACTAGTGAAATTTCTAGAATCTCTACAAAACCCCTTCTGATAATATTAAGAAGTATTCATAATTTCCCATAATTCATTGCATTACTTTTATTATAATAAATGGTTCGATGATTATAGATAATAGGCAATAAAGTAAATTCATTTTGAAAAGAAATTCCTTTGAAATATATATATAATCAGAATAATTGTAATTTATGTCATATAATGTTACTTCAGATTAGTTATACTCTCTAAGTCATATTTTATAATGATGGGTTGTAAAAGATGAATGATAAGCATAAATGAAGTATTAGGTGAAAATAGTTGAATACTTTCATAAGGAATTCAATAAATCCAAACCTTAATGTATTCAATAATAACAGTGTACTTTTACAGTGTTTCCTCAGATAAGAATGCGATATCTTAGAGTTGTAATTTAATTTCCAAAAAATAGTTGAAATTTAATTAATTTGGACTTTTATTTTATAAGTGGTTACTAATTGTATATTTAAATCTAGCTCTATAGTTTACAATGCCAGTATTTTCATTTGATGCGTAACTCTGACGAAGGACTTGCATCGGAAATATTGTAATTCAGTAAGAATTTTATTAACTTGTAAGACATTCAAAATGTTTGTAGGTATCATTATCAAGGTTTGACTTGATAATTTTGAATAAATTGAGTATTGGGTAGATTATTATAAAGAGATTAATAAGGTTGTCATAATCCAATAAGTAAAAAAATTAGATCTTTTGACGTTTGGTGACTCAATTTAAGCCACATCTGGTAAATTCAAAATTGTATTGTAGTATTGGTTATTATGTTAAGCCCGTATACCTTATTCTAGCTTTTGGATAGCCTATTCTATTCATTCCACTTGGGTCAAGTTTTGACCTTGTTAATTATTCGTTTATCAATCTTGACTGTTTTTAAATGAGCGCATAGGTGTGTATACACTTCTTATCCCATTACTCATAACACGTCTGTAACTTATTTTTGTGTAACTATAAATACTGATTAACGTGTGGTTAAAGAAGAGTTGGCCTACCCGCCATCTCCACTGCGCGTCGTTCCTCTTCTCTCTATTCCATTCGCTTCATATACAAAATATATGTATTCAAAAGTCCATTTTCGTATTTGACTTATTTAATTCCGTTATTGACTAACGCGATTAAAGTCGATGATTATATACGAGGATAGGCGACATATATTTCAACAACAATCATCATTACAATCTCCTTGGAGTCAAATTTCGGGCCACTAAAGTGGCGAGCCATTTCGACAACATTGTTCGATTTAAATGACGACAAAATTAAGGGCCCCACAGTATATCTAAAAAAATCAGCACAACCTCTTCTACCATGGTCTTAATGTCTCATAATTTTATTTCTTCTTCATACTTTTTTTCTACACAGCCATCTGCTTCTCCTTCTGTCTTCTCTATAGACATTTTACGCCCAATTGATTTATTTATGCTTCTATGATCCTCCTGATTGCATTTCATCACAATTTCAACATTTTATTTTACCATGCTTAGCCACCATCATTTCTCAATTATAGTTTACCCATTTATCTTCATGATAAATACTCAAGCCCTTAACAACAAAAGAATTATTAGTTTCTCTGATAAAACAACTTCCCTATACCTTTGTTTATTCTACCTCACTGTTAGTATATCTAATAGAATTTTATAGCACTATTACTGTCATTTACTTTTATTTATTTATTTATTTGAACACATAAATTTGATATAAGAGGGCACCAGATACATATGCGCCACACAAATCTCATTTGATATGTGTGAGGGCTGTGATACTGCTCGGGTGCTCAATCTGAAGAAGTTGGTTTTCTCACGGGGCCACACCCGGAGCCTTCGGTCTAAAGGTCTAATCCACAAGGCAGTGGAGCAACGTAAGGAGATGTGGTCCCATGGCAACCCGTGATCAACGATTGGTTCACACGCCATCTATTTCATCAGGATCATGGAGCCCATGTGCACCGTTGGTTTGGATTCCGGTTTTCCAACTCCCCTAGGTGGACTCTCCGTGTCCACCGACCCGGGTAAAGCTCCAGACATTCACTTTTCGTTCTCTCAATTTCGTAAACAATGACTCCGCCACGAGAAGGCAGTGAGTAGGACTTCCCTGGTAGAGGCTTTATACGCGTGGCCATGTGAGAGCATTTCGAGAGGAAGAGCGGACCATCCCCACTCTTCGCCGTACCAGGGCTTTGGAGGCATTACTGTCATTATTATCACCTTAAAAAGTAAGTTTATATATTTGCAATTGTACATATCGAACATTAATTTGCCGAAAAGAGAACTCTTCGCTGAACCAATTTTATTAACTGAAATTTGACATGCTATTGCAGTTTTCAAAATTATTAAAACATTAATAACTATAACTAATTCGATTATGATTAGCATATATAAAACCATTGTCAATTCCAAATAAATATAAACTTGAAGTTAATCAGTTTAGTGATTTAGAATGACAGCAGCTACTTACTAGTTTAGCATGGACAGTTAAGCGATTATCAGAATAGCCAAAAAAGTCTATGTAAGAATATGGGTTCATTTTAAATTAGAAATCATAGATCAGATTTCAGATTAAATTTTACTTTCAAAGTTATGCCTTAAGCATTTTATGATGATTTGACATTAAGGTCATGAAAATTGATATTGTCGTTAAAGAAAATTAAGATTAATGCCTTAAAATTAGTTAAACTGAACTCTACCTTAATTAAAGTGTTGAAAGTGAGTTAGAGTAAAAAGTTATTTCATACAGTAACGAACATTGTGATCTGATTAAGAAAAACGATTTATTTGAATTTATTTGTACAACAAATCCAAACAATTTTCAGTCACTTATTTCTCTTAGTCTCAGATTACTAAGCTTAGTAAGGTATTAAGATTTGAACTGAAAATGTTATGGCCAATCATCTCCGGAGGTATTTCATTTACTGTTCAAATTAATTTTAATATTCAAAACAACATAAATTTGTAACTTTACTGGGATTACCATTCGACTAAGCAGTACAATGTTTGTAAAATCAAAATGTTATAATCTGATCAATAGAACCACTATTTTTGATAATACCTAGAATATCAAAGAGAATGTTACCGTCTACTGTCAAAAACTGATCTATATAAATCAACTTATCTTTTCGCCTGGAAAAGATTAGATATATAAGTGTGGTTTCAACTGAATATCACTAATTATAAAAAAAATGGGAACATTATTTTTACAATGTTGACTACTAAATGTAATGTACTGCATTTATGTGATAAGTCTGTTATTTGAACGCCTAATCCAATTTCCTATCCACTTCTAATAACTCCAGATCAAACCAACACGGCAACTTGTACACACGCGAAGTGCAAAACCGAAGACTAGTGATAAGGATTTATTTAACTCTCAAAAACATTTATAAATACACCACTTTTCATATCATATATTTACATTTAGACTAGAATTCAGATTTGTCTAAAGTGAAGTGAGTTGTATGAAATATGTGACATATATGAACATATATTTGTCATATTATACAACTGAGCGTCTCTAATCCTTTTTAAGATGTGGACACAAATCACACACAATTGGGAAGAATCAGTTTCACATAACATTCCCAATCCAATAGATTAAGCTGTTATTAACTGTATCTTAACAATAAATAATCTTGATAAGCCTGGGCACTAAATGAATGATACTTTTCAATATTCAATGTATCCAATGATTTATTTAGTTTCTTCAAATACTAACAACATGATTCTTCATGAGGGATAATTCAGCTGTAATAAAACCTTTTTGAGATGATATGATAGTGTTTCATTACGTTTGTGAGAACTAGTGTTCAGAAAAGTTTGGAACATATCAAGAAAGAATAAATTTCTCTAATATTTCAAATTGTATCTGAGGTGGCCCGAGAATCTGACTCCATTTAATGCGTATGGAAGATTATTATCACCTATTCTCGTATATCATCGTCGACTTGAATCGCGTTATCCAATAACGGAATTAAATAAGTCGAATACCGAGAAGTGACTTGAGAATACATATATTTCGTACATGAAGCGAATGAATGAACGACTGTACAAGCAGGTAGACAAAAAATATTCTACCATCTGACTGATCAACAATCAATGAACAAGAAAGGCTTACATTTAAAAAGATGTAAATTAGACAAATGAGTTTTGAATATCCCAATTTTTTTTCTTCCAGGAACCAGGGAATTCAGCACAAACAGACTAGCTGTAATATATTTCATTACGTATTATTGTCTACATCACTATTTGAATTAGTAAACACCTTTTTTATATTATTTAATCAAATAACTAATTCTGAAACTAACATGAAGTCAACAGTTCTATTCTTTGAGTAACAAACTCGGTAGCGTAATACGCGCTTCTTTATCTATCGAAATCGAATGTTTAGTAATATAACAATATTATTGAGTTCCAATTGAATGTATTAGTACTGGATTTATATAAAAGTGAATTTGGACAAGTCGATATTTAAGCTGATTATAATATCATTATGAAGTTACCTTGTATATATATATATCGTTTAGGTAGCTAAAGTATAGACTGAAACTGGGAGAGTGATCAATGAAATTTAGTTATTTCTTATTGAAAACAAGTAAACTGTTACATTTAGGAACATGAATGAAACTAATCGATAATTAGTTTTTATCAATAGGGAATGGATTACTTAGTTTAACATGACCAAACTGTAGGAAGATAAACCATATAAAAAAACAAAATAATTTACTCAATGTTCTCGTT